TCCCAGGTACCCCAGGTGTGTCCCAGGTGTGTCCCAGGTGTGTCCCCAGGTGTGTCCGCACCTCCCCCTCGGGCTCCAGGAAGCTCCACCCCCCCTGCTCGAAGAAGCCCTCGGGGTCGTCCACGATGGTTTTCATGATCTTGGTCCAGTTGAGGGACTGAACCCCCTCGGTGTACTTGAGGTCACAGGAGCTGCAGGTGAGACAGGTGAGACAGGTGAGACAGGTGAGACAGGTGAGACAGGTGAGACAGGTGAGACAGGTGAGACAGGTGAGACAGGTGAGACAGGTGAGACAGGTGAGACAGGTGAGACAGGTGAGACAGGTGAGACAGGTGAGACAGGTGAGACAGGTGAGACAGGTGAGACAGGTGAGACAGGTGAGACAGGTGAGACAGGTGAGACAGGTGAGACAGGTGAGACAGGTGAGACAGGTGAGACAGGTGAGACATGGACAGGTGAGACAGGTGAGACAGGTGAGAAAAGCTGAAAAAGGAAAATCTAAAAGAAAATAAAAAATTGGAAAGATATTCAAAAAACTGGAAAAAAAAAATTAAAAAAATTATTAAAAAATAGAAAAAAATTGGAAAAAAAAGAAAAAAATGGAAAAAATTGGGAAAAAATTATTAAAAAATGGAAAAATGGGAAAAATGTTAAAAAAGGAAAAAAATGGAAAAAATATCAAAAATATGGAAAAAATATAGAAAATGAAAAAAATGAAAAAAAAATTTAAATAAAGGAAAAAAAAGGAAAAAAATGTTAAAAAAATATAAAAAAGGGAAAAATATAAAATAATGGAAAAGAAATGGAAAAAATGGAAAAAAAGGGAAAAAAAGGGAAAAAAATGGAAAAGAAATGGAAAAAAATGTTAAAAAAATGTAAAAAAAAGGGAAAAATATAAAATAATGGAAAAGAAATGGAAAAAAAGGGAAAAATATAAAATAATGGAAAAGAAATGGATAAAAATGGAAAAAAAAGGGAAAAAAATGGAAAAAATGGAAAAAAAAAGGAAAATGGAAAAAAAAGGAAAAAAATGGAAAAAATGGAAAAAAAAAGGGAAAAATATAAAGAAACGGAAAAAAATGGAAAAAAGTTGGAAAAAAAACGGAAAAAAATTATTAAGAAATGGGAAAAAAACCGAAACAATTATAAAACAATGGGGAAAAAAAAGGAGAAGAAGGAAAAAATTGAAAAAAATTGAAAAAAATGGAAAAAAAATGGAAAAAAAGGAAAAAATAGAAAAAAATGGAAAAAAAATGGAAAAAAAAATGGAAAAAATACAAAAAAATTGAAAAAAATGAAAAAAAAATGGAAAAAATACAAAAAAATGGAAAAAAATGGAAAAAAAAAAGGAAAAAATACAAAAAAATGGAAAAAATGGAAAAAAAATGGAAAAAGTACAAAAAAATGGAAAAAAATGGAAAAAAAATGGAAAAAGTACAAAAAAATGGAAAAAAAATGGAAAAAAAAATGGAAAAAGTACAAAAAAATGGAAAAAAATGGAAAAAAAATGGAAAAAATACAAAAAAATGGGAAAAAATGGAAAAAAAAATGGAAAATAAATGGAAAAAAACTGAAAAAAAACCCGGAAAAAATTCCCCAAAAATGCCCTGAAGGTGCCGCCCCCTCCCCCAGCCCCGATTCCCGAGGAATTCCCGAGGAATTCCCGAGGAATTCCCGAGGAATCGCCGTCCCCTCACTTGAGCCACTCCTTGATGGGGTCGAGCGAGGCCACGGGGATGGCGTTGATCATCGTCACCTTGCGCGCGTAGTCCTTGTACACGATCACCAGGTCGAAGTTCTTCAGGTGGAACTGCACCCGCTCAAAGTGGATCAGCTCCACCTCGTCCAGCGTCACCACGAACGGCGGCTGAAACACACCTGGGTTACACCTGGGCACACCTGGGCACACCTGAGTTACACCTGGGCACACCTGGGCACACCTGAGTTACACCTGGGCACACCTGAGTTACACCTGAGCACACCTGAG